ACCCTGCTCTGCAACCCTCAGCCTCTTCCCCCACCCTCTGCAGCACCCACTTATTGCAGGAGAAGCAGCCCTCTAACCCAATCAGCAGGCTGGGGGGAGGGACCTTTTATTTTATTTTTTTTGAGAGCCCTCCTTTTCTCAGCTTTTTTGCAGGGTTCCTTTTTCAAGGTTCTCTCGGATATTCACAGGAAGTGCCCGATTCCACATTTTCCATTAAAATCACAAAACTGTGATTCCAGTACATCCCTATATATTGGAGCTAAAAAACCTAAAGAAAAGATAGACCGTAGTTTTAACAGACAAGGAAGTTTAAATTCTGTACCTCAAAGGAATTTAAGAAAATTAACCTATAAAGATTTTTTAGAAAACAGGTTTGCACTGTTTTCCTCTTATTAGGATGCCTGTAGAAAAACTTATATACTACCTGATTTTTCTCCTTTTATCTTCAGTCTCAAGAACACAATCAGGCCTTTTTCACACTTTGGCTAGAAAATGACCAAGAACAAACACTTATCTGAAGGGCCGCCGTACTGAACATAAGCAAAACTGTCTTTCATCCAAAATTCCAGGGGCAGAGGTTTGCAGTCATGTTGGTCTAAGGACATAGGCAGACAAGGTTCTTTTGGTGAATCTGATATCTTTTATTAGACCAACTATTTAAGCTGGTCTAATAAAAGATATCAGATTCACCAAAAGAACCGTGTCTGCATTTCATCCAAAATGTTAGTCAATTATGTTAAACAGGTGTTAAAATACTTTCAAACTGTTGAATTAAAAACAGTTAACTAAGAACACTTTCACTTCTCAATCACTTTCAATATTATTACCAGTTGTCCAATAATCTACACCTTGTCCCTTTCTGACAACAATTGCCATACTGGGAGCTCTAGAAAGCAGTAGAATACTTAGAGCAAAATCAAATAAGCATACTATATAAGGTTTTTTCTGGTTCCTGCTTGGTTGTTTTTGTGTAATGAAGGGGAACTGGGAAAAAAGAGGTTTTAAAAAAATACAGGTATAGAACAAAATTAAAACAATGAAGATTTTTGAATACCTTTAAAATCATTAGACAAAATACTTTTCTTTATTCTTACAATCATTAGACAAAATACTTTGGAACTTACTAACTAAACTGAAGCTAAGAATTGACAGTGTTTATTTGATTCCAACACGAGGCATCACCCCGCCCCCCCCCCACACCCCCTGGTCAGCATGGAGGGAAAAAGCCTCATTTTCAGGGATCTTGGTTCTCTCTGTTAAAAAAAATCCAAAAGTCACGAATAAAAAAAATTCCCAAAATCTGCATTTTTCCACAACTGAAATGGAACAACACTATTTATACAAGTATCAGTTGGAAATCTACCAGCCTGCAAGGTGAAATCCACAGTTTCCTGCGTTTTTCTCCTTTAAAGGAGAAAATCCATGTTTTTCCAGCGGTGAGGCAGGCAGTGGCTCAGGTCCAGCTTCAGCCCCTTGAATTCAAGATAAGCAGGGATCTGGGTTTTCCTTTTGCCACAAAAAGATTCATTTGGCCGGGGAGGGGGCATGCAGTTGGGTGGAACAGAGGGGAGGGGAACTGCAGACTTTCCCCTTGCCCCCAACTGGGCCTGGTAAGGAGCTGCCACCTCCTCTCTGACCAGCATGACCTAGGCCAGGCCAAAACTGCTGAGCAGTCACCAGCAGCAGAAGGTTGGGGGGCAGGGGGAAGAAAGGGAAGGTACAGGGAGCAGGCTAAAGGGGAGATCAGGCATGGGACCATACACAAGTATGCAAGGCAAGTGGCAGGGGTAGAGGCACAGAGGGGCAGGTGACAGGGAGGAGCGTGACAGTGAACAAGAAGAGTGGGTCCGTCCCTTTACCTCCCACCACTGCCTTCCCCACCACAGGAGCAAGGGGGGAATAAATTTAAGATGACCTTCCACTAATTGGATTCTATACATGGAAAATTATAACACATTTATACATGTCCATGTATAGAATGTAACAAAGGGGGTATCATCTTAAATTTGAAGCCATCTTGGATTTGGAAAAATCAGTTCTCTGTGTGTACAAAACTTTCATTGAAAGTTATGTACGCATAGGAAGTGAAAAACAAAACATTCATATCAGGCTACACAGAACACTACCGAAGTGTATATAACTGTGAGACCATTTTATTAATGCAGTATTAGATCATATGCGCTACGATACGTTCTCTGCCTCTCTGCCAGTCTTAAAGAACAGGGCACCTGTAATCATCAGAACAGCAACAGCAAACAGAACATACTGACATAGGAAAAAAGTGAGTTAAAAAAAAGTGTTACTTATATGCTGTATATGTTCTTACAAAAAATGCAGAGGCAGTTTTGTCATTTAATGAGAAATTACCTTTTTAATGGTCTTCTACTGATACAAATGTGTGACCAGCTACTCCTCATTCAAACTTTCCAGATCTACCCAGCTTTCACTATGTAATACCTGCCCTTAATTCAAGAATGTAAGAGGAAGAACAGCTAGTTATGCTAAACCCTCACTAAATAAACAACCATGTCTAAACTATCTTTGTAGTAAGTCTTGTTCTTCCAAATATAAGTGGTATAGGGAAACCTGTGTATTTGAAGCCGACTCTTTTCAGTGCTTAATCACCAAAGTAGTTACATGTTGAAAAATCCATGAGCCTATGAAGCATACAAGCCACAAGCTTCATGAATATATGCTAGCTTCATAAAAATGATATATCAACTGCTTAGACAGGGGTGTTGAACTGTAACTTTTAGAGCTCTACCTACCCAAAAACTGGATTAATCCAGGTTGTACTTCAAGATGACTTACAAATGTTAGCCATTATTGCAAAGCAATGATTTTTACATGAGACTGCTCCTGAGGAAAACACTTCCTATAGTTAATTAATAGACCAGAGTCCAGCACTATGTAACAACACTGCCACCAGATGACTAGAGTACAAAGCAACTCCAGTTCCATCTTGCACAGCCACTGCTGAACTGAACAAGTTGGTCCTAGATAATAAAAATGAACTTGGACTCATGAAAGCTTATGCTTTGTCTCTGACATATATTTTAGTTAGTCTACAGAAGTGCATATCTACCCTGCCTTATGACTGACTTCAAGCTAACACAGCTACCTACCTCTCTTGACAACACAGCTACATTGTCCATCTACTGACTAACCAAAAGCAAGAGAACAAACCAATATCACCCCTCCATCACCCAAAGTCATTAGCCCTTCCCTGTAAATCAGGTAAAAACGCACAAAAGACTTGGAACCAACACCTCCCTCCCCCGACCTCCAAGTAATTCCCAGGTCAATACAAGATCCAATGCAACCTCTCCCACAGACCATGCAGGGGACAGCTTGTTTCAAAATGCAGCCATTCATTTCAGACAGCTGTGCCCTCATAAAAGCCTCTAACGACAGAGAGAATAGTGTCCCTCCCGTGAAAGAGCACTTTAAGGTGGAACTGGGGGGGGGGCGGGGGGGAATAAAAAATGAAAACAATGGAAGCACCTAACAACACAGAGGTCCAAGCATGCAAAGGAGATGTAGACAGTGAGAGGGGTAAAATCTAACAAGAGGTGGTTCTTTTTCACAGGCGTGTAATTAAAGTGTGGAATTCTTGTGGAAACTGACAATTTAGCCAAATTCAAAAAAGAGATGGGACAAATTCTTGGAGGAAAGGGGCATCAGTCACTATCGAACAAGAGATTTAAGGATATAGCCCTGAATCAGAACTGTCTATACTTTAAATGAGAGAAACTGCAAGTGAAACAGGAACAGTGGGAAAACCCCAGTGGTCATAACCCCCTGGTCATTCACTTTTCCTTTCAGCACCTACTCTCTGCCACTGTGACACAGGCCTTTTGAGAAGCTATTCTGGAACGTGGGCCAAAGCCCACCAAGGAGAGCTATCAATCCCCCTTGACGAAGGGGGCCACAAAGGACACTTCACTGATTGCTTGGGACAACTAAAAGGCAAAACAGGGATTGTAGTGGAGGTCATCGGTTCAAAATGAGCATGCTGAAGATGGATGCTGAGCAAAGCATCTGACCAGGGAGGAGGTTCTGGCTGAGCGGATCCTTGTGGGCTGTTTTCCTGTCCCTGGCCAGGTCATGCCTGCGGGCAGACTGTCACTGGACAGCACCCACCAGATCCCGAAGGAATCCAAGGAGCCAGCAGACGTTGCCCAGCAAAACTCTGCCCAATGTGAACAAACAGGAAAACAGTGTCCCCCTTAGTCCCAGGAGATCCTCCCAGCCAGAGCCTCCTTCCTGGTCAGGTACATTGCCAGCTTAGCTACAGCCAGGAGGAGGCTGACAAACATCATGACAATCTCAGGGCTGTGTGTTTGGATTCCCGACCCCAGAGGGGAAGGTATACATCTTAGTAAAAAACCTGACTTTGGGCTGGATTGGGGGATTTTTCAGTACCTTTTCCAAGAACTACCAGACTCTTATCAAAATGAGGGAGTTGACAAAAATGCAGTTTGTGTGTAAATGAGACAGCTTTGGAGGAAAACAACAGTACAACTAGGCTTTCTAAAGCAGCTGAGAGAGACTGGCCCATCAGGACAATTCTGAAACCTGGGGTGTGGGCTGTTGGGCAAGTCTGATATCTTTTATTTGACTAAATAAATAGTTGGTGTAATGAAAGATACTGGGTTTACCCAAAGAACCTTGAAAACCAGTTAGGCGCTCAGGGTGCCCCCAGCCCCCACTGACCTTGCCTGGGCACTGGGCATCTCCTGACTCCTTTGAAAGCTGCCAGCACCAAAATAAGATGATCCTAGATGTGGCCCCAGTTTTCCCCCTGTCCCCCCAGGTGATCAGCAACAGAGCCCAGCCTCACTTCTCAAGGGGGCAAGAGGCCTGGCTCCTTCAGGGGGCAGCAGCAACATCTCCTGACCCCCCCCTTGTCTGCAGTTCTATGCTTTCCCTTCACTTTTTTAAGTGGGGAGGGTGAGGGCAGCCCCACCCCCCAGGCCGCCCCTAGCACCCACTCTTCTTAAAATTGCTGGAGTTGAGCCAAGCCGCCAGCTCATTAACAACTACGTCAAGGCGCTGTGGGTCGTGCTCCAGGTGGGGCGAGCGGCTCGGCTCGCTCACATAGTCCAGCAGCTCCTGGCCCACCTGCAGCCGCCGGGCCACGTCCTTCTGCTGCACCTGCTCACTGAAGTACTGGGGAAGGGGGCTGGACCCCGGGCGCCAGCCGCCTCGAGCGCACGCGGGACCCCCCCCTTGCGCGCGGGCAGGCAGGGGGTGGGGGAGGGTCTCGGAGGGCCTCGCGCTACCTCCGTCCCGTGGAAGTTGCGTTCCTGCCCTGCCCTGCCCCCCTTCCTCCTCCTCCTCCTCCTCCTCCTCTCACCACGGCCCCGCTCTCCCACGGCCCGCCCCCTCGTCTGACCCCGCCCCCTCGCCGCGGCGCGGGCGACCAACGCGACACTCCCCCCACGCCTTCCGCCGGTGCAAGCACTGCGCATGCGCGAGGGCGGGGTAGGATGCGACGCCATACCCATCCTCCCCCTTGTGCCGGTGTGTGTATTCGCGAAAATAGCCCTATGCTGGTGGCGCCTGCGCCGAGGGTTAGGAGATTGCGCCGTAAGTGACGCCTGCGAGTGATGTGCGCATGCACCAGACGGCCGCGGCTGCTCCGCTCTCGAAGAAGCGAGGTCTTTCTCTACGAATGGCGTCTACTGTGGTGCCTGTCTAGGGCGCTTGGACCTGGGCTGCAGGAATAGGGTGGCTTAGAAGCGTGGAGTAGGATAGCGTGCGACTAGGGTGCGGGGAGGCTGGAAGGAGCGGCTGGGTTTCTCAGGCAGCGCGGCGGGCGCACACGGCCGGCGCTGCGTTCAAACGCCCCGCGCACCACCGAGCCCCGCACCGCTTCACTCCACCCCTAGAGCGCTGGGGGCGGGGCGGGCTGCGCCCTTGTACGTCATAGGGAAGCGTCGGTGAGGGGTGGTGCTAGAGTTCTGCCACTGCTCGGGCCCAGACGAACTCAAGTGCGCCCTTCCCCGCCCCCACCAGTTTCATTGGCCGGCAAAAACGGAGGCGGTGATTTTCTCAACTGGCATAAAACTAGTATCATACTGATAGAACCAAATACAAATGAACTCTGATGATATAAAAACAGTACTGCCAAGAGAAAGGAGTTTCCGGTCCATGAAATTAGGTTTAAAAACATTTTACATGCAGATGCAATATGAAAAACAAGAAAGGCCCAGGTCAACCAGGCAAGGACTGCCAGTGCAGTGCAGACCACCCTTTTAGAGTTGTTGGCCTACCTTTAAAAATGGTAAAGGTGCAGGGATGATGAGGTAACATCAGGGAGGTGTGAGATCTGAACTATGGCAGACAAACATGCACAATCATAGAAAACTTGTTTTGGACAGACCTCGGGAGGTCATCTAGTCCAGCGGTTCTCAACCCTTTTTTTGCACCAGGACCTGTTTGTGAACATGGATGGTCAGTTGCAATGCAGTGCCCCTCACTCACCCAGGCCCCAACCCCCCAGTGTGTGGAGCATAGGGGTGGGAGGGGCAGAGGGGGTGTGTGGGGGGCTGTGGCAACGCATAGGGGATGCACAGGGGAGCATGTGCACCCCCTGAGCACCGGTCCACTTCCTGACTGGCTGCACTCGACGCTTAGGCGATGGGCAGGCAGGAGTGCTGGTGCCCCCCTGCAATGCCACAAGCCAGGGAGTCGAGTGCTGTTGCGCTCCCAGAAGCAGCTGCAGCCACTCCCCGAAGCAACTTCAGCCGGTGGCTGCAGCAGGGAGCTACAGCTGACTCCAAGCTGGTAAGTATGAGGGGCGGGGGTTTGGGGGGGGGGGCCCCCCCCCCCCCCCCCAACCCAGGCGGCACCAGTGGCATGGGCCCTGAGCAGCCCCTCACAGGCTGGAACTTGCCAGCCTACAAGGGAAAAGCTAGTTTCCCACACTTTTCTCCTTTTAAAGGATAATCCATTTTTAAAGTTTGTTGATCCATTTTTTTTAAGTTTGTTCACAACCCTTTCGTATATTCTTGCGACCCACTTTTGGGTTGTGACCCACAAGTTGAGAAACGCTGATTCTAGTCCAACTTGTTGCTCAGAGCAGGATTATTCCCAACTACATTATTTCAGCCAAGGTTTTGTCTACCCCAGTCTTCAAAACCTCTGAGGATGGAAATCTTGGAAACCTTAAAAACCTCTTATTGCTGACTCTGAAACTCATGCTAAACTGGGGCCTACTCACAAAAATTAAAACACAAAATATTGATGCTAACTGCATAGTGCAAGAGGATGCGAGTTCATGGCTAGGCCATCTGAGAAGAAATAATGAGCTATCCCTTCCAGCTTATCTTATTATCTTTATGATGATTTTAAGCAGGCTTCTAGTTGTCTGGTATGTCACTGTGTGAAATGTATATCCTTGATTAATTAGTTTAGTAAATACTTCTTTTGCAATTAACTCATGTTATGTACAGGAAGAGTCATTCTCCATATGTAATAGATGTCTCCTCCTGATTTACTTCTGTTTTGACTAGTGGGTCCCTTGATTTTCCAAGGACACTCCCCAAAACCTTGGTTTTTTTCCTGGTTGTTAATCAGTTTCTTGATACGTTCCAAACTTAGTAGAAATGGATACCCTCTTGTCACTGAGGAAGTACTGAGGATAACCTCTTGTCACTGAAGATAACCTCTTGTCACTGAGGTAATTCATTCAAATTGGAACTTTCTGATAACCAATAACGAGCAGCAGGGCTGGATTATGACATGCTGGGGCCCTAAACTATGTCAATCTTAAAAGGCCCCTTAGCATTACCAAAAAAATGCCACTCTTCCCTGCCGGCCCAGAAGTGGCGGGGGAAGCTTGCATATGGCTGCTGCTGCCTCCATTAAACACCCCGTGACATTGTTCTGCATGTGAATGGTGCTCTGGGACTGGCTGCCACTACCCCCCACCTGTCCCCAGCTCTATGACCAGCTGCAGTGCCCGTTTAAAAAAACACAACATTTTCAAATCTCCAGCATGTGCTTGGTCCTGAGCATGCCAGATTTGTGAGGTTTTACTGGTTTTTTTTTTTTTTTTTTGCATTTAGAGGCCCTTTATCATAGGCAACACATGGAGGGGCACTTGCCCCCCCTGAGATTGGCTGCTGCCAACAGCGTGGATGGTGGCAGTTCCCGCTTGCCTCCTGCTGCTCGCCAGCCTCCCCCCCAACCGCTGACACTGCCACAGCCACCTGTGGGCAGTCCCCGCTCAGGCTGTCACCGTGGCCACCTGTGGGCAGTCCCCGCTCGCCGCCACCACAGTGCTGCCACCATCTGCAGGTGGTCGCCATGCCCCCCCAGCCTCCAGGGGCACACGTCATTTATGTCCCTCATAATGGGAGACCCTAAGCTGTAGCTTACTTAGCTTGTGCCTAAATGCAGCACTGACAAGCAGGTACTGGACTTCACTTTGGTTAGGGCTCGTTTGATTTTGAATACTTGTACTAAATAAAGCCTTTCTGTCATTCCTCAAACAAGGTGTCAAGTCAGTCTCTCGGCTAGTCCGGAATCCTAGGTTTTTATTAGCTAACATGTATGTCCAATGAAGGCTGCCTCCCATCTGAAAAGGCTGAGAACCTCTGAGCTAAAGTCTTGCTGGGGTGGGCAAGCTGGGTGGTAGGGATCCCAGTTTGGGATGGGGAACAGACTACTAGAAGTGTGTGGATGCACACACGCTTTGGTGGGAGCAGCTATTGCCTGCCTCCAGAGAACAAAGATGAGTCCTGAGATGAGAATTAGTCATGGAGTGGGGCTGCCTCATAGTTTGCCTTTGTAGAACAGCTAACACAATGCGGTCCCTGTTTTTGCTGTGCCCTTGGAACACCCTCACTCCTCCCCTAAAAAAGCCGATTGGAACCTCTGGGAGTTTTTTTTTTTTGCTGTTATTGTTTAAACCTCAGATCTCTAGGTTGATTTTCCTCACCTGCAAATAAGAAGGCAGAGGTGGACAGTTGCTGTCCTCTCAGTGGTGGGGTTGTGCAAGCTTAGATTTGCTAGTTTGTGAAAACTTCTGGCAAAGTTTGTGTAATTGCTTTTAGGGACAAGAGAGACTGATGTGTGCTTCTTAATGGGAAAAATAAACACAAGATAAAAACAGTATTTTACCACCATATCTCAATATCTATTCCCTAGAACTCTAAATAAGAGCTTTACCAAGTTTTTCAATTTAAGAAATATTTTTCTTTCCAATTTCTTTAAGATGGGCTGAGCAAATGCACAGTGCCCCTAAAAATGCAGTGCCAAACTGACTGCCAACAATTGTAGAAAGTTTCAGCCCATTGGATACATTTTTGGAGAAAGCAGAGTGACTTGAAACCCAACTTTCACTATAATCTGATATATTCACTTTCCAAATAAATGGTGTCCAAAACAAAAATGTACTGGTATTTCCCAGCTGCTTTAGGTTACAGCAAATGCAATGCTAAAGTAACATTTCCTAGGGGAATAGAGGACAAAGGGAATAAAGTTTAAAGTGTAGCATTCCACAAGTTTGAAATATGCTTGCTCCACAAACAAAACAGGAAATCACAAAGCTGTTTTAAGGGCACAAAGTTGTGGTTCCAAAGTGTATGTAGGTGTTTCTTGTGTGAAACCAGGACAATTAAAAAGCACAAGAAGAAACACTTTGGCTCACTATAACATCTGTGCTGAATTACAATATGTCATGTTGCAGCAGGTATCTATGTGGGAGTAAATGTATTTTCAGGCTAGATCTTTGATTAGAAAAACATGTTAAGTTTTCCACTCGTTGATTTTTACTTCATCAGAATGTGTCAGTTTCTTTTGAAATCATACTATTGACCCTTCCCTAAGAACAAGAGCAACTGGTTCACTGGTTTTAATGTGGCATCTTAATTTTGCAAATACAGCTTCTGTGTGTGTCACCACCCCTTAGCTGCTCATGACTTGTACTGATGTTGGATCTGGAGTAGTTCACTATACAGCTCTGATGAAACAAAGTAATAGGGACAGAAATTGTTCTCACTGGGCGTATCTATACATGCTATTAATTTGCCTAAATAAACTCT